AGCATTTCAGCAGGCAAGCAGAACTTCCCCCCCACCACCCCGCTACCCGGTGTTTGTGCCAGATCCTCTCCTTGTGCCGCACCTCCGGGACAGTACAGACCGAGGAGCTTTGGAAGTACGGGATTAGACAGTCAGGTGCAAGTACGTCTAAATAAAATGAGCTCACGTTCAGATTTAGTATGGACGAGAGCAGGAAAGACAGGCAAACCGCATTTCTTGTGTGGTTTGCAATTCTCCCATCAAAGCGCAGATGACCCGAAAGCTGAGGCTGAACTAGGCAATAGCGATAGGGTAGGGTAGCAATGCCCTGCGCTCGCTCACACTTGTTAATGCATCTTCTCTTTAAACCCCTGCCACTTTTGGTTACTGAATTACTGCTCATACACCCGGCTGTGCTGTTCACCAAAGGCAAGGCTGAGATCTTAAAACTTCAAAATCTAACTCCGAGACGCCTTCCTTGACAGGTTTAGCAGACTGTGTGTGATCCAAGGGCACGCCCCAAAGACCAGCAGTGTCTGTCAGCTCTTCACCAGTGGATAGAAATGCTTCTGAGCTTTTCTTGAGTTACACTGGCCCACTAGATCGGTGTTGTGGTCCCTGGCTTTGGGAAGATTAACTTCATGCGTATTTTAAGACAGCATCTTATCAGCATCTTATTCCTGGGACTTTGTCAAGCACATCTTGATGTATTTAAACACAGATTCCAGTCTTTTGGTGCTTTTTTGTCATGCAGAAAGGCCTGACCATCTACAGGCACTCCCTGTTCTGTGTTGGTTGATGTGCCTGCATTTTGTAGTACAATTGCCCCCCCAGAGACTGGCCCCACGGAGCCCACAGATCAGGGTTAGATCCGGCTCTGGGTCACTGCTACAGTCTGCCCGTCAGTCCCTGACGTTTGGGAAGTCTGGGTTCAAATCCAGGTTTTCTTAAACCCTCAAGCCTGCAGATTTAGTTTGTTTTTCTCCAGAAACACTGCCAGGGGAGCCAGGTTTGGTTGAGCTGTCTCTGTTCAGAGGGTAACAAATAATTCACATCACCTTTAGTCGGGTGACACTAGTGCCTTAGACCACCACTTTAGTACGGGAATTCGAGTAATAAGCTCCGAATAAGGAAGAACAGCAAGTACCAGTTCATAGTATTTTTTTTTACCATGACTAAATTCTTGTAATTTGCTGTGGCTTTGCTGATGCTAGTTAAAAATAGAGGGTAGCTTCTGAAAATACTGCATTAATTATTGGTTCTATGCTTTCTTCAAGGACATCTCTCATGTTTAACATTTGCGGGTCTGTTCGGTTCTCACGGTAGTGAGGGACAAATGGCACCACTTGTCTAGACTGCAGCTGACGCCAGCCAACACGCAAACTTCCCACAGGCGTTTCTTCTAATAGAAATATAAAGATATAAATAATTTTCCATTTCTATATATAACTAAATATAAATAATAAAAAATAGCATGTCACTCTTGGTCCTCATCACCCCGGGTGTTTTCATCCTGATCATCTCTACAGCCAAGGATGGCTTTTCTGGTAAATTGATATAATTTCTCCAGCAGTTGCGACACAGTGCAAGAGAGCAGAATGTAATCAGCATCAGTTCTACATGGGTCATGAGTTGTCACATGACAGTGGGTATACAGAAGTTTCATCCATGTTACAAAATCTGTATCTCTTACAAAAGTTTTTGATGTCCTAAAATCTTTTTCTACTCTGTCCTTGCCATAAGATAAATTTAATTGATAGAATTAAAAGTAAAGTGTGCATTTGACTGCAATGATGGCCAAAGATCCAGTTAGTGCAGGACATTTCCATCCCTGTAGGGAGTGACAGGCTGTGACTGCTTTCCAGTCCGTGTGTACAAGCCACTGTCCATCTGTCTGCACCTCCCACCGCATAGTTACCCTTAAGTACCATAAACTGGGGTTCAGGCGTCTGTGGGAGAAATAACAGAGGTGGTTCTTTTCCACTCCTCACTTGCCAGGCATTTGCTCTCATCAAAGCCATCTAGCTCAGTGGGTTTTGGGGGTGGTTGCTCGCCTGCACTGGTCGCTCCATGCCGGGCAGGTGACCCGCAGGGGTGCGCAGTGCTGCTCCCTCTGGGCACCAGCCCCGAGTCGCACAGGGGGCAGCGCTTTATACACCACGAGTACTCACACAGCTTTGTGTTACACTTACATGTGTGCAATTAGTTATTTACAAGTGAAATTAATTCATCATCATACAACACTCCAGTGACTCGAGAAGTATTCTTGTCTAAATTTAGGGGAGGTTCAGAAAGTTTGGAGGTTGAGAGAAAATTCTGAGAAAAAGTGCATCAGTGGGAATTTAAAATCAGCCCTGTTGAGGAGGAGCTGCACAGGAGCAGGTAGCACCATGTTGAACAGGGAGGAACAGCACCGAGCCATCAGCCAGGTGATGGCAGGGGTGGAAAAGCCTCCCAAGACTGCCAGAAATGGGACTCCTGCATAGCTCAGTATCCAAACAGTCAGGATTGTGTGATAATATAGCATCACCCTAATTACTTTTTTAACAAGATACACAACAACAATCTTTCCTTTATCTTTTTCATTGCATGCAGGCCTGAAGGGAGAAATGGGTATTTGGGGGGACAGGAGGGATACATCCCCTCAGCAATCCACTCGCAGAACAGCTGGGAGCGAGGAGCAGGACAAGGAGCAGCCCCAGCCAGGCTGCGGGGAGAGGTCCCGGGTGCAGCGTTGCTCTGCAGGGCCGAGGGAGCTGGGACGGGGCAGAGGCCCGGGAGGAGCAGGAGCAGCATGTGGGGCACGGCCCGAGCAGCCGGCGTGGAGAGGGGCTGGGGCAGCGGTGCCCAGCCCAGAGCCTGCAGCAGAGGGGCAGTCATTGCCAACAGTGCCAGGAAAAACAGCAACAGGTTTGGCAACAGTCTGGGGCAGCAGAGAGGACTTGAGCAAGAGGAGCGAGCTGAGGAGGAAGGCTCGTCGGCCGTGAATGGGAGGGACCCCAGCGAGCCCCCGACAGGGCCGAGGCTGCTGCATGCTGCACCGCTCACGAGAGGAGCCTCCAGCACAGGAATCACCAGCCCAGTCACGGCAGCGATGTTACAACGGGCCTCGGCTACTTCTGTTTGGTTTCCAAGCTTGTCCTCAGACAGTGACTCACTCACCTAAGTCTTGCTTCTAGTGTGATATTATCAGAAAGTGGGGAATCTAATGCTTCTGAGGGAAGAAACAAATGTTTCCGTTCTCCCTTTTGTGATTTGGTTCATCTTCTTTGCTTGTGTCATTCAAAGTAGTATTTGTGGTGGAGAACACAGCATTCGCAATATTTTCAGTGATCAGATACCTCAGCTTCACTTTTTCAGCTAATTATCTATTAGTAATAACCCAATATTTGCTTCACATGCTTTCAGAAGAGGAAAGAGGTCACAAAAACCTAACAAAAGTTCACTGAAGGACGCATTCTTTTCTGAAACTGCCAGTCTTTAACATCAGAGCACACGAGTTGGGTTTTTTCCCCTGTACTTGTTCAATAAACACAGTTCTCCAGACACCAGTATATATTATTTCAACTGCCCAGAAAGCAACACTGTGCTGCTGTGCAAATGCAGAGACCCTGTCAGATGCCTCCTTGGCATTCGCTGCAGAATTCACCCCAGAGCTCAAGAGGGACTCGCGCAGCCCACCAAGGCACATATTAACGAGCTGTTTTCCAACACACACAGCCAGGATCCATTGCTGATAACGAGTATGGCAAGAAAAAGTTACTCCAGGACAACTCTTCACTCTAGCTTCCAGCTTGTCTATGCACGGTGTTCTCTCCAGCCCGATGTCATCTCCGCTCCCTCCAGCCACCAGCCTCTGCCCACCCTCCTGCAACCGAGCAGAGCCCCCCCCCGTGCTGGCTGCTCCCGCAGCTCCGCCTCTGCTTTCCCGAGGCTTTCTGAAAAATCTTGGCTCATTCAGAAAACTACGTCATTCTCCATGGCATAAACTATTGCTCCATATGAAGAGACTGTCAGAAAGCTGACTCTTGAAAAAAGCAGTCACTAAAACAGGTAACTGCAATTAAATTGGGTTTTTCCTCCATCAAATTCCCCTTAGAACACGGTCACTTTTATATGCGTATGTTTGCACCTGGTCTGTTGACTGCTATTATGCTGATAATCACACTGAGATATTACAGTCCCCCTTCAGGGAACGATAAACGCATTCTGCTCAAGTATTCCAAACCACCTTTAAAAACAAGCTTTTTCCCAAACCTGTATGTATGCAGCACTGCAGGCAGTGCAAGCTGGGTGGTGATGGGCCCGGAGATACAGCAGTGTGCCATCTTTTGGTTACAAATGATGAGCACAGCACGAACCGCAGCTTTATTTAAGCATTAGCTTAAAAAAATCATTTTTCTGTACACAGCCTTGAATCATTTTAATTCCACGGTTGTCTTAAAACCTATGGTTTAACTAAACCAGACTCAGTGTTTAAGCCTGATGCGATACTCAAACCACCTGAGGAGCATTCCTGCAATGAATGCACATCCAGCCCAAAACCACTGAGCTGACCTGGTGAGGAAAAACCCCAGGCCCTGTGTTGGCCAGAACCACTGGAGCCAGTAGACTGACGCGGGCGGGCGTGCTGCTGGTCCCGCGCCCCCCCAGGGAAGGGCTCGCTGTGCCGGGCGCTTTGGCTCCCCTGAAGAGCGAGGAGGTGCCCCCCCTGCACGACCCACAGGGAGCCGTGGCTGGGCTGGGTCTTCTGCAAAGAAGGAAGGGAAAAGTCTTTGAAACCCAAATGGTTTGAAGCATCTTACACACTGCAGCCAAACCAATATGCATTTTCCTTGCCAGGGAAAAACAGGTGCCCAAACGCGACCAAACACTGCAGAGGGGCCTCCTGGCTCAGCGGGGGTGCTGCGCGTTACCTGTGTCATTGCTTTAGGAACAACAGAAAAAACACCCCAGATAACCCAAACCACTGAGCAGCTCCACGCTGATAGTTTTAGAGGAAAACCTCGGAAAATAAAACCCTCTGAAAACTTGCTTTCTGGAGAGCAATGATGAGATGCAGCAGCCAAGCCTGTCTCTGAAATCCGCTGCTCGCCCAATCAGACGAGCAGAGCACTCAAATTACAGAGGCTGCTGCCGTCACCTTAAACCCTTGTTATCGAGTGACAGAGGATGCGCTGAAACACCCTACAAAAGGCTCTATTTCCAGCTTATTTAAGTGCATTAGTGCGGAAGCTGGAGCTATACAGAAGGGCCAGGGAAGAAGAACCTTTAGAGCATCCTCGGGGAAGCGCGCGCCTCGCGGGGGCCAGCTGCGGGGACAGGGCTCCGGCCAGGCGCCCGCGGAGCTCGGCCGCTCGCCCAGCCCATGAAGACCTTGTCGCCGACTCGCTGAAAGCCTCAGAGGACTTCGCACGCCACCATGCCAGCCCAGCAGAAGAAAATCATCTTTTGCATAGCCGGGGTGCTGAGCTTCGCCTGCGCGCTGGGGACGGCGGCAGCCATCGGCACACAGCTGTGGGTGAAGGGGACGACCCTCTGCAAGACGGGAGCCCTGCTCGTCAACGCCACCGGCCACGAGCTGGAGAAGTTTATTGGCGAAATCCAGTACGGGCTGTTCCACGGCGAGCGCGTGCGGCAGTGCGGGCTCGGGGGGAGACCTTTCCAGTTTTCCTGTGAGTAACAATGGCATCTGAATTATTTAACGGCGCTGCTGAGGGCCCGGGGAGCCGGGAGAGCACTGCCCCGGTGTCCCCTCGCTCATCCTCGGAGCCTAACAGACATGAAACACTAAAGCAAATGCTGCCATCACGGTGTTCTGATCCTCAGGTTCAAATAACTTATCTGATACCAGTAAAGCCACGCTAACATTTTCAACAATCTATTTCAGTTAGATATCTACATTTCAAGAGATTTGTACTACTACTTTAAGAAAATTATTTTTTTGTTTTTCAGTTATTTCTGTCATCCTCCTCCATGCATGTGTGTCATATTACATCCTCTGTGCTGTCATGAAAGTGAACCACACTAGCAGAAATCCGATGAAAGAGCTGGGGTGGAGATACCTTCGGCTGCTGCTGAGAAACAATGCACCCAAAAAGTTCGCAGTCTGCCGCAGCAGCTGGGAGAACAGCTGGCTGGCAGTGGCTGGTGTTCTGTTGGTTGATCTGCAAGTCAGACTTGGTGTCTGACATACAGAATTTTATCAAAGACTCTTAGGAATGATTTTGCTTTACATGTAATATTCATCACCTATTTATCTTCAAGGATAAGATCAATAAAACGATCAGAACACCCAGTCTGTACACAGCAGCACATTAAGAGATAATAACAAAGAGCCATTTGTTATATGTACAATATGAAGCCTGGAGTTGTTTCAGAACACAGTTCAGGAGCATTCTGCTAACACAGCGCTGGTAAATTGCTTATGCAAGTCGTTTAAGGCAAGGTAAAGTTACCAGATTAGGTACCAGAAATTGTTTACTATATGGTATTTTTCCAAAGTAGTAGACCAAATGAATATATATTGAGATATGCCATCTCTAATTCAGTTCCATCACTAGCCTATTTATACAGCTGAAGTTCCTCCTGATTGCTTTGTTTGTCACAGCGTGCAGATATTTCACCCTGATGGTTACAGGCTGGGGCAAATTTTCAGAGGGTTCTACTAAATCCCAAGGAATGGGTTTTCTCGTGAGCAGGTGGAACCGTTCAGAAGCCGGGCTAGCAAAGCCGTGAGCCCCCGGCGGCTCCGGGGGCCGTTCCGACAGAGCGGGGAGAGACCGGGAACGAACCGGCGTGGGGCAGGGCTCCAGCCCCGACAGGCAGCCCCGGGCCAGAGACACCGCTCACGAGCCGGCTCCCTTCTCTTTCTCATCATTTTCTTTCCACATACCTGTTATTTAGATACTTTTAAACCATTTTATTGATGTGCCTTGCATTCAGGCTCCCATCTGTACGTTTCTTCTTGTTATGGCTGAAATATCTTAATATTCTGCTGCTGTGGTTGTTAGCAATAGATTCAAAATAATTTTGTGGGCAGTGTGAATTAATATTACAGGCACAAGAGAGAATACAAACGCACAGCTTGTGATGAGTGAATAATATCAATCATCACGTGGCTTTAAGTATCTCACATCCCTACACACCGGTTAGCTCTGGATCTGCCCAAGTACTGCAGAGCATTTTCAACCCACAGTACTCGGGGTTACTGAGCTTGCTCTCCCTAAGGCCATACACTTCCATTCCACGCTCTCAGGAATCTCATATAACCAAGCTTTCCTATCCAAATGTTTACCAAACTTGCATTCATAAGTGTTACGTCAGAGTACACCAACCTAACCAAAGAACAGAAATAATATAATGTTACAGCTAAGTTACAGCTAAGCAACCCACTTTTGGAATGGTAAAAAAGTCCTGCAAAACCTGAGTGAGCTGCAGCATCCTGCTGCACAAGACAGCATTAAAAATTTATTTCTTTAATATGAGTGCCTAATGTACATGTTTAAAGAACTCAAAAGCTTCCAGGAATTATATAAAGAAGAAAATATTGAACAAGCGATTCACTCAAGCATCAATAAATATCCCTGTTCTCATTTTCAGACAGAGAAAATGAGGTTTGAAGCGTGTGCTTCAATGCCCGTTCCCCGGATCCGAAATCAAGGCTGGGTTTAACCCTGTGCCTGAACTCTGAGCATGAGGCGAAGCTGCCGACAGGCCCGTGCTGGAGCCGCGTCCCCCCGGAGGCAGCGCCCCGGCGGGCGCCCGTCCCCGCACCCCACGGCCCGCAGCAGCAGCACTGCCGGGGCTGAAGCTCTGGCTCAGAAACGCAGCCCAAGAACCTCGAGCCTCCCAAAACTGAACCCAAGCCTGCTTAGCAGAGCATCCTTTTACCTTTTTACATTCTCCTTCCACACAAGCCAAGCATTAATAGGGAAATATTTTGACATTACAAGCCCGTCCTGTCAGTCTTATCTGCCTGCCCGGGATCCTTCACACAGCACCCTGGAAAGGTGACCCTGCGAGGTGACCTTTGGCTCCGTGTACAGCTGACACGTAGCCCAGGTACAGCCGAAATAGTTTCAGAAGCCCAGCTGTACCGATCATGGGCTTCCCCTGACAGCAGAGGGTGGAAGCATCGCTCTCCTCCTCACAGATTGTTCTCAGATCATCTTTCAGATTAAAAGCAAACACAATGTTTACTTTGACAGGATTTGTGTTTAGAAACCATGATTGGGTGGCTTAGCAAAATATGCCTCTACCAGAAGCGTTCACTTCAGAGACCACTTGCTGAAGGCGGGGGGTTCACCTCTGGGGCAGCAGCAGACCCGTCCCGTCCCGGTCAGTGCTCTCGGGGGCTCCCTGGGAGAGCAGGATCACCACCTACACATCCAGAGTTTAATGCACTGAGGTGCACTTTAGCATGCCCAAGAAGAGACATGGAAAATAGGCTAAATGATTTAGTTCTATGTTTGTTCCCACTAAACGCTCCCCTCTGACCACTATAGCTCTTTTAATTGTGAAGCGAATTTGCTCTGCCAGCAATCCCAGTGCGGCCGGGGAAAGCCTTCTGCTTCATTTGCTCTTGCTGATTCTCATCAGCTTCTGGGTCAGCAGTTCATTTTCTAAAGGTCACTGGCATGGATGCCTAACACACTATTTCATTCATTACAATGAAGGAATGTTTTTCTTTCAAGACAACATAACTGCTGGAATTAATTTTTCCTGATATGTCACATATAAAATTTTAATGACATAAACAACTAAACGCAGGTGCCAAGGGAAGGGTTCAATACGGCGCAGTAGCGTGTTTTCTTAAAACCAACAATACAAAACTCTCTTATTAAATACAGTTTCACACATCCTCCCAAACATCAGGTAGCATTGCAAGAACTAATGCTGTTCCTTGCAGAAATCCTGCACAGGCTGGGGCTCTTCAGCCCTTCCGTTGACTCGCTGGAATGGTACAACAATCAAACTGTGCCTTACACCACACTAAGTACAACTGCTCCTTATGCTTGTAAAGGTGTGAAATAAGTGATATCAAGTCCATAAACACAAGGTCTAAAGCTTCTAAAACAAGCTTTGTCTTTACTAGGGGGGTATAAGGAATTTAAGCACCAGTGGCCAAACCAGACAATAAGTAGCCATCAGCAGACGTAACCTTTTATTCAGGCAAATGGGTCAGTTTAGCAAAGAGGCAGCTCCGCGGCGTGCGGCACCTGCACGAGCCAGGACAGGGAGCAGCAGCATCGCTGGCCCGGGACCAGCGGCCACGAGGTCCCGGTGCTCAGGAGCCAGGCCGGCAGGGATGCCCCTGGGGCCAGCGGGGGTGCCCCCAGGACGGGGGGGCTCTCAGGGACGCCCCGGGCTCCTCCACCCCCGACAGCACCACATCAGCAGGCGCAGGGTGAGGGTCCCCAGGCCATGGCCCCCGGGGGCACTGCCTGCCCCACCCCACCACAAAAGGTGATATTTATTTAACACAGCTTCAGGAATAGTTCAGACATTTGCTTTGTTAATTCCCCTTTCCTTTAGTCAGAAGAACTGACTTGACACCACGGTTCCCGTTTTGCGGTGCTCGCTGTGTGGCCAAGCTGTGGAGCTCTGCTGTAAAGATTTTGCAAGGTGGAATCATTTATGTGAGGCTTTTCCACTGCACGTCGCAGCTGCAGCAAGGCAGCGCCGAGATGCTATTACCCCCACTTTAATCGTGCCCCTTGCGGATCAGGAGCAGTTAAGTGTGTTTGATGATTCCTCCTAAAACGCTGTTGTTGCCAAACAAACATGAATGATTAAAAATTATTCTCTCATACTGAGTCTGATTGACTATCCCCTTGTGCCCTAGTTAAGTAGGGTCACAGTTTAAAATAATAGCTAAAAAGCTGCATAAAAATATTTAAAATTTTTAATTTATATTTTTTAATATTTAAAGGGCACCAGACTTCGCAGCAGCATGCACATTTTATTTGTGCTGCCTTATTTTAGCCTGGCACCCACTTTTTTCTTGTGAGACTTCTCCATTTCCTCTCACTGATTTATCATCTTCCCTTTCTGGCCTTGTGCTTCCAGACAAAAAATTCCACAAGGTTTTTACTTGGACAAATACAGGGGAGAAAATTTTGATCATATAAAATTTGCTTATTCTTTCAAAGTTTCAGCCATAGTTTGTTGTAAATAACTGATGTAACTTTTATGAATTTCTTCCTTTTTAGTATCATATTCCATTTTAAAAATAATTTAAGAGATTAATGTATCTACATAAACATATCCCTTCCCTATTTTTAATAATTTCTGCCAAAATACCATTTTTTTTCTATTTTCTAAAATTAGACAAGTGCTAAACAATAAGAGGCCAGAACCCTCCGATCCTTTCAGGTGTTTACACATCTCTTTGGCAGATTTTCACAGGGACTCCCCGCAGCATCTCCCCCAGGTATCAGCCACTCCTGGAGCCTTGAGCAACTCCCAGAGCTCAACACGTCAGACCTGCCGGCAGGTCAGCCCCCGGCCTCCCTGAGGGCTCCCTGCTTCCTTGTAATAAAACACGGACCTTAACTTGCACATTTATTGCTTAAGGTTTTCAGAAGAAAACTACATTCTTAGCCAAAATTCTTCAGGTATAAGCTTGACAAAGCAGCGCTGCACAGTTTGTCCAAATCCAAGCGGTGGAATCGCTGCTCTGGAACAGAACAGCGCTCAGCGCCCCGGGCAGGTGGGACGGCCAGACCCCAGCCTTTGTGACCTGGGACACATCAGACCCAAATAAACCACGGGCGCTGCTGCAAAATAATCCAGCACACGGGGGGCTGGGCAAGGCCCCCCCATGCCCAGCCACCTCCCCGCTCACCCGCACAGCCAGGGCTTCAACGTGCCCAAGGACTGCGCCCATCAGACGCTGCCCAAGACTGGTCACGGGGGGAGGGACCCCGCGGGGGCTGCCCCCCAGGCCAGGGAGCCAGCAGCAGCATCCCTTGGGAAGGGGAGAGGCTTTCCTGGGGCTGGTCCTTCTCTCTGGGCCAGTCTGCACTACTGAACACCACAAAACGCTTCTGTTCCCAAGCGCCTGTGAAAACCTGGTTCTAGTTAATAACTTCATTTTCACCTTTGGTTGCATTTGGAAGAGCATGATTTAGAACAATTATCACAAACCAGCAAGAAATCCCTGGCCTGACTGCTGAGACAGCTTTGCCTAATGTGTATAATAATGCTTTGTTCATTTTGTTTTTAGTTTTTCCAGATTTGCTCAAAATTATCCCTGCAAGTATCCATGTTAGTGTCATTCTCTTCTGTACAGTACTGATCGTCTTTGCTCTGGTGGGAGCAGGTTTCTTCATGTTCAATGCTTTTGGCAGCCCCTACGAAACTCTGCACGGCCCTGTCGGGTTGTACCTCTGGAGCTTCATCGGGTGTAAGTACCAACCCCCCGGGCACCCAGCCCAGTGCCCGCCGCACTCGCTACTCACAACCCCGGGTTTATCAGAGCAGGGGAATGTTAAGGACCGTGCCTGCACTGACTCTAAACTGGCAAAATACAGCCAGGCAGGAAGGCGAGAGACTTCACCATTTCAAAACATGTTTTTTCCAGATTGGTGATAAGAAGTAAAAGCTGAAATCCTCCGTGCAGGCAGGCGGTGGGATGGGTGAAGGCGAGCGGCCGTGGGGGCGGCCCCGGCACCTCCAGCCCCTCTGCAGAACCTGCAGAGAAAGGGGACGGTGCCCACGAGCCCCAGGCCCCCAGAGCTGGGCACACAGCACATGGTCAGAGCTGGGGGGGACATAACCAAAAGTCAGTGATGCAAACGCTTGTGTTCAGCGTGATGGGGGGTTTGCAGCTGTGAGGGATCACCACTCGCAGCAGCTGTTCCCGAGGAGCAGAGGGGGAGATGCTGACAGCGACTGGCTGTAAAACCGGTCTCTGAAAAGCACAGCCAAGAGGGCAACGGATCATCCCCGTCCCTCTGCCACTTCGAGAAGGTAAAGCCTGCTCTGTGGTGCTGGCTTAGCTGACAAGGAGATTTATCATTGCTTTACGAGGTATCAGGCATTAGAGTCATAATTTAATAAAGGATCCAAGTACATACTTATCTTTAAACACGCAGACAGTTCAGTTACGTTCAATGGGACAATGAGCAGCTTTAAGCTAAAAAAAGAGCACAGATCCTTTGCTGGATCAGGGCGCTAAAGCAGCCATGCTAAATATTACTGGTCCTAAGCCAAATTCAGTTTGAAAAAGCTGACTAATCTCAATTGCCATTGGCTAGGGTTCTAGAAATATACCCCGTTAAAACTAAGTTACAGTGGCCACACCACCACCATCAGCATGGCATTTGGCTGTGGCCTCGCTGCAGGGAGGGCCAAGCTGATGAGCATCTCCCCCTCCATTGCAGGTTCCTGTGGTTGCCTCATCATGATCCTCTTCTCTTCAGAGGTGAAAATCCACCACCTTTCAGAGAAAATTGCTAATTTCAAAGAGGGAAGTTTTACATTCAAGACTCACACTGAACAGTTTGCAAATTCATTCTGGATCATCCTGGTCTGCTCCCTGGTGCACTTCCTGAATGCCTTGCTAATACGATTTGCTGGATTTGATTTTCCCTTTTCAAAATCAAAAGATTCAGGGACAATCACTGGAGCAGTTGACCTGATGTATTAGAATTACATAATTTAAGAACATTTCAAGCAAAGAGGTTCATCACTACTACATTCAACAACCACCAGGTGTACTAACTTGTAAGTGATTAGCTACAAGGTCATTAAAAAAGGGAAAGCTTCAAATAAACACCAATATGACATATGCAGTAAACAAAAGAAGACATGCCATTTGGTATTGTCTCGATCCAAGTACCCTTTCCCGGGGTAAGGCTTTCTGAAAGCATTTGCCTTTTTCCCCAGTAAGTTATCTGAGAAACAGCTGGCACCAAGAAAACTCAGAATATCAGTAGCATTGAACTGGATCTGGAAGTAAAAGAAACAGGTTGTAACAGAAGCCCAGACTATCACCAGCAGCAGTTTTGCCCTTTAGCCCTCGGGAAGGCAGAGATGAAGTTGTCCATAAAGCTCTTTTGGGTTTTTTAGTTTTAACAAACCAGCTCTTCGACCCCGAAGTCCCCAAAGCCCTCACCTCCCTGTGCAGTCACTGCGGATGGGCCCTTCGCAGCCCCGGTTAAACGCCGCACGCAGCAGAGCGGGATGCAGGGGCGATGCAGCACGATCCCTCCTGCCCCATCCCTGCTGCTGAGCACCCCCGCGACACCCCAGGGCGAGGGGCACTTCCCAGAGCGGAGCCACAGGGACAGAGCAGGCACGTGCACCACAGCCCCCCAAAGCCGCGCGGGCAGAAGCACCAAGAGCCCTGCCCAGCCCCGCAAACCCTCTCGTCCGACAACACAAGTGAAGCAAAAGCCCTCGGACAGCGGTGGAACAAAGCAACAGGCTGACAGGGTGCACGGCAGCACCAGAGACCCACGGGGAAACGCAGGAGGCTTCTCTACCTCAAGGCGTGCAGAAGGGATGGACACAGCCCTTGCACCCTTAAACTCCTGCAAGTCAGTTAAACCCGCCAGAGCACTCCCCCAGGCCAGCCCACTCACCGCCACGGGGGCTCCTCCCGAGCACGGGTACCGCACCAGAGCAAACCCCACGGAGAGGCCAGGGGGGAGCCTCCTGCCCCAGGCACCCCTTTATCTGCCGGGCTGCGACCCCAGCCCCAGCACAGGTGGGGGCAATCCCAGCCCAGACCCACCGAGTCACCTGGGGGGAAAATCAGCCCCGGCACCCGTCGGGACTCACCTGAGCACTGCATGCTTCCAGCTCTAGTGACTTGCCAGATGACCTCACTGACTTTTATGTCAATTTTTTTATATTTTTACTATGAATGGTAAAACACAGCAGGGTTGTTTTGTAAAAGGTCTGTCAACTATACCCCTACTCTGCGAACCCTCTCACAAAGCGGCTCGGCCTCCCCACGCTCTACCCTCTCCCTGGATTTTAACGATGTGTAAGGGCTACTCGAGTTGCCACGACCCCCTTTTTTTCATCATTTTCTTCTCAGTTAATATGCATTCTTCTTAACGTTAACGTACCTTCTTAACACATAATTTGTATTACATCTCCTGGTATTGTTTACCAAAACGATGAGTACTGTTTCATCCTTCTTGTTGCTGGTGTTTCATGGAGCTGCTCTGCTCTGCACCTCTGTGGCAGCTTTGGCAACCGCCAGCGTAAAGGGTGGGCTGTACGGGGTCAGACACACCAGGTGGGCTGTACGGGGTCGGACACACACACACCGGGTGGGCTGCACGGGGTCGGACACACCGGGTGGGCTGTACAGGGTCAGACACACACACCGGGTGGGCTGTACGGGGTCAGACACACACACCGGGTGGGCTGTACGGGGTCAGACACACACACCGGGTGGGCTGTACAGGATCACCTGTACAGGTTGGATGTACATGTATCGCACACAAGTTTCTCTCTGGGTGTCCCTCGCCAGTCCTGAAGAAGGGCCTGGCCTGTGTCTGTAAGACAGACTTGCCCAGACCTGGCCCAGCACAGAAGATAAACCCAGCCCTGTCCCTTTGCTGTGCAGGGGGAGCAGCCCCTGGCACGGGGGCCCGGGGATCACGGGGCATCGCCTGGCAAAGAGCCCGGCTCCCCGCTCCCATCGGCTGCGGCAGGAATCTCCGGCTCATCTCCCCGGTGAAATTCTCGACTTTACGGACATCCGATAAGTCTGTATTTTTTCCCCCTTGAGCTACACACTTCCCACTCAGCCCTGGCAGCCCAGACTCGGTCCCGCCTGCTGTCAGCCCGCGCAGGGGGGGCCGCAGCCCTGCAGCTGGAAACCCCCCCAGTCCTGCCCCCAGCCCAGGGCCAGCCCTTACAGAGCTGCTGCCGAGCGGTCGCTCCGTGCTGGCATGAAACACTTGGGCTCCTCAGAGCCAGCAGAGACAGACTGGGACAGGACTGAGGGTGGGGCGGCGGGAGCTGGCAGTGGGCCCCGGGGTGCCAGCGGAGGGGCTCCCCGAGCCGCCCCGCAGCGGCGCCTGCGGATGGGCGACAGGGAGGCTGAGCTGGAGGAGGTCACTCGCAAAATCTCGGATCTAAACAAATGGAGAGAAATTTTTAGTTTCCATGGGTAAGACTTTTGTTCTGCTTCATTATCCCGTTTTTAATTCCAGGTGGTTTTTAGTATAATTTTATAAGTTCTATTACAATACTTATGTGACCATGCAAAAGGTCTTCATGTACTCAGTAATGCAAGTACTACAGCTCGAACTCTTCCTTTCTTTTGGGGTTCTTTTCTGGCTGGGCTCCTGTTTCTTCATGTTAGCAAAGCCTCTGCTGTTTGGTTGGGGTTTTTTTAATAACCTGTATTTTATTTTCCCTTTTCAGTTTGGAATTCAGTAATAGAACTCTTCAGGTAACTGTTTCTCTAAAAGGTAACATTTTGGTTTTTGCAACTGTCCCGCCAGGTTAGTGAGTGGAGGAAATCGCACATTTATATATGCGGCACAGCAGACAGTTTTATGTAGATTTATCTCTTATGCTCTTCCTTTAAGAAACATGCATTTTCTTCAGATATTTTAAAGGAATGTCTTCCTGATCTAAATCAAAGTGGCAGAGTAGTCTATAAGTGAACCCTTCTGTCTAAAAGTAACAGTTTTCATGGTCGATTTTAGAACACAGGAAAAAAAGCCTAACAAATTAAGATCTCTGAAATGTAACTATTTGGAAAACCTGCTGAGTCCCTCGGTTGGAAGGCAACGCAGCTTATTCCCTGTAGCTCAAACACAACATTATTTTATACTCCGGTCATTGGCTTGTAGGGACGTATCCACAAGGACTGAAAAAAGCTGAAATCAAACCCCGTGGTGCTCCCGGGCACCTGCCCATCGCAGGTCGCTGTGCCGGTCCCAGTGGCAGTACTCGGGGGGTAGCTTTGGGTGCAGGTGAGGCAGCAGCCGGGGATGATGCCCCAAGTTCTCCTCTCTCTGTGCAGCGCGGCCGGGCGCCCCCCGGAGCTGGAGACCCTGCGGGGCCGCAGGCGCCTCTGCCCCCCGCCGCCGTCCCCAGGCCCCTCCTGGTCCCTCCAGCCGCGGGCGGGCGGCCCATCTCCTTGGAAATGGCAACGGTGAGCAGGCCTGCTGAATTAACCACGAGCTGTAATTTAATCTCGTTAAAAGAAAGAGACTGGGGAACCTTACCTGGCGCTGTGGGAGGCGCGGGGTATTGCTGGGCTGAAGGCTGCAGCCTGCTGTCATCTGCAGCAGAAGCGTATAATGGTAATGATTTATTTATGAGACTTTTGAAGAACATGGTTGCAACGCAACCTTAAAACTGATATACTATAATCTCCATTAGATAATAGGTCAAATGAGAAAGCGTAACGTTTCCCTGCCCGCCGGTGCTTTGCTGGTGAACAGCCTCAGAACAGGAGGCAGAAGTTCAGGAGATCAGAAAGATATTTCTACTCTCACCCAAAATCCTGGTTCGGAGCGCAGCACGTGACAGCAAGCACCTTGCCCAGGCTTTCCCCCAACAGGTGCAGCCTGTCCAAATACAAAAATTATTTACACACTGCAACTGCACTTCACAGGAGTGGTTGAGTGATGTCACTGAATTAACCACGAACGTCATCTTTGCTTTGAAATTACGGGGTCTGATCCTCGGTAGGCGATGTTACACTGCTCTGGCCGGGAGCTCCCTCGCTGAACCCGTATCCCGAGGCCTCTCTGACATGGAAGATCCTCCACGACGCTGGGATGCGAAGGGAGCTGAACCCATCCCCTCTTTCTCCTCCTGCCCAGGGGCTGCGGAAGCTGCTGTTTGGGGACGTGTCCCACCGCTTCAGCTGCGAATGGGCAAACGCACACTTCAGGTTTCACCAGCCCTGCTCCGACCTGGCCTACGCTTTGGAGGCAGAAAAGGTAAATGTCACAGCGCAGCAACGGGCACCGGCGCCTCGGGGTCTCAGCTGCTCGCGGGAGCTGGCAGCCAGTGCTGGGGTCAGCCCTGGTGTGAGCCAGCCCAGGCAGGACGCAGGAACACCCGCAAAGCCACTGATGAAACACGAACAGTAAATTTATTCTCATGACCTCACACCCAGGGGGTCCCCAAAGCAGCACCCGGGCAGAGCGCGCAGGCACTGACACGGGCACCACGGAGCTCGGTCTGTGCTAGAGAGAGATCCCAAACCCGCTGCTTTCCCCCTCCACCAGGGATTTTCACGGGTGAAGTTTTCCACGGCGCTTTGATCCCTCCCCCAGCAGGGCAGGAATCTCAGGGATGTTCCACCAGGTGCCCCCGAGTCTCTCCCAGGCCGGTGTTATCTAAACGCAGAGGCTCTACTTGTCGAGCACACAAGGCCAAACAGCAATTCGTGTGATAGATGTGTTTTTCGACACCCCAGCTGCGAGTCACTCGAGCGTGTTTACAATCCTCCTCGCCCATCTTCCGATATTTTCCCCCATCCCACCCCCTCGCTCAAGGGCCCGTTCCTGCGACGCTGGCAAGGCTGGAGGTGCCCGTTTGGGCTTGCAGGGTGTAGGACAGGGTAACTTAGAGGCACAAAATACATATAGAAAAAGGAACAAGCATATCCCTACAATAACGTTGTGAATCAGGTGTCCCACCCATCCTGCCAGGGAGTTAAACCCCTCAGCCAGGCAGGCACCACCAGCAGGTTGTTTCATCTGATTATTAAGTCCTGGGGATATGGAATCTTGTCCTCTGCGCTGGCAATTGTGCTGAAGCAACACACACCTTCAGCCTCAGAGCAGGGTTTATGGAGTTAAAGAAGCAGGTAGCCCATCCCTAATCAATTTTGTAATGTTCCTTGGCGCACAGCTGTTACCTATTCAGAGGAAATAACAATGAGGAACATTACTATCACAAGCACTCAGCACAGTGTAATCCTGTAGTACAGCGACTGGGGTTGGCACGCTGGTGAAACACAGTCAGAAGATCTACAGCTGTTAATCCTCCCTCAGGACAGAAGGCAGACGAGTTAGTTACAGGAGAGGCCAGCCAGGCCCAAGAATTCACACCCCGATCTCACAGAAACGTAACCAGGGCACGTAATGTAGCACAAGCGGACAAAGCACGAGGAGCCAACCCGTGATAAGGGAGAGCAGGAGCACCGTCCCCTTCCAGCAGTACCTGCACCATCGCTGCAGCTCCTGCAGCTCATACCACCCCGGGACTGAGCAGCTGCTGCGGGGGGATTGCCCACACACATTGGAGAGCTGTGGCTTGCGATTTTTCAGGTTGGACTTCAATTCAATCTCAGGTTCGTGACAACAGTAACCCGATGTATCTCCTCCAGATGAGGCACAGGTGCTCATCAGAGATGCCTGCAACACAAGAACTTGAGCATCTGATATCAACAGAGGGTGTAAAATCAAAGTTGGGGATCAGAGCCATAGGGCATTCTCAGGGCTTACTGTATGAATCTTCACCTCTAGAGTAGGTGTGTGATCCCACCACGGCACCCATCAGGGTGAACAATTCCATTTCCCCTGTGGTTAATATTTTGGGGGAGTTACCACCTGGAGAATCTCAATCCTCACCATGGTTTGTACTAGAGGTGGTGGGATACGGATGTAGGCTGTTTGATTACGAATATTCCAGCTGTTTAACAAAAAAACCTGCTTTAGTAAGACGTGAACTCCAATGTTGTAAAGTTTTAGTACTGGTTAGCTTTTCTAATTGTTCCTTCAAGACCCCATCCATTCTCTCAACCGAGCCTTTAGCCTGGGGATGGTAGGCAAGTGGAATATCCAACCTAGCCCTAGACTTTGAGCCCAGTCTTGGACATTATGTCCCCTGAAGTGTCCCTTTGTCCCTTTGTATTTGGTGAGGAGGTCCGTACTGATGACAAGTGGTTCTAATGCCCCAACATACGCAGGCACGGCCACCCTCGGGCACGGCCCCACGTCAGCCCACGCTGCCTCGAGACCCAGGCCCTTTGCTGCGAGGATGAAGGAGAGAAAAAATAAGCTGTGGTGCTTCCAGGCGTACACAGTACCGGGAGGCCAGAGCCCTTCCCTGTGGCTGCAGCTGACAGGGAGGGACCCCTGCCCGCGACCTCCCCTCCCCACAAGCACACAGCCTGGGCCACCCAGTCTTCTCTTGCGAAAAGCCTCCATGGTTTTAGGCACATAGGATCTTTTTCAATTTACTTCCAATTTATCTCAGGAGTTGTCAGCAGCGCCTCAGAATTCCCATGGAGCAATTCAGCCGGCCGGGGATTGCTGTGAGCTCCAGGAGGGCGACACGGCACGTGCTAGCTCAGGCTGCTCAGCACTGGGGGTGTTGTCTTCCTGCTTCTAGGGGGGAACAAGAGCCATTCTGATGGCGGTACAGGCGCACGTCATCGCGTACCTGCTCTTCGTGAGAAACACCAGACACACTCACCTGGACAGGTAAGAGCTGAGCCTTCCCACGGGACACACTGTTCCCTTGCATTATCTGGGTAAGACAAATGCCTGCCTCTAGGCTTAACCAAACTAGACCTGAGTTCAGGTTTGCAGCTACAGGCGGGGATTTGCACCCGGAGAAAAGCCTTGTCTGACTCCCAGGCGAGGCTCTTCCCCACCAAGACTGTTTTCACTCCCTCGTCCCATTCCCTGGAGCCGCGGTCACAGCCCGTGGGCAGCACCAGCGCTGCGCGGCGGCTCACCAGGCCCCGGCCGATGCCGGGCAGGGGAAGGCCAGACTCAGCCCTTGGTCCCGGGGCAAAAGCCCCCACAGCACCCACGTCGCTCCCGGCACGTGGGAAGCTCGTCCGTGCCAGCAGCAGCGACGGCGCCAAGAGAAAGTTGGAATCTCAAGGACAACGGGCACAGCTCGACACGCAGCTGCCTGCTCCGCACATCCCTCGGGTCTTTGTGTTCCCACTTGTTGTGGCTGGAACCGATAACCGGGCGAAGTTGGGACCTTGGGGTCCCGTCAGCCCCCGCGGGGAAGGGCCCTGCTCAGCTCGGGGTCAGCCGCAGGGCGGGGGGCTCACAGCGTCCCCGGGCTGACCCTGACACAGCCCCGGGGTCCCCAGGCTGCGCAGGGTGAGCGGGCAGGAGCAAGGCGAGGCGCTGGCGGCCGCCCTGGCAGACACTCTGTGGGCAGCAGCAGCAGGAGGAGGAGGAGGAAGGAGAGTCGTGGTCTGCCTCGCCGCAGCCGCCCACATCGTGCCCCGTGGAGACTACGAAGCCGACAGCTTCACAGAAAGAGTGAGTATGAGTACACCTGCTGCAAACAGGATTTTCTTTAAAGACACATTTGGCCTGAAAGTTTTAAAGACATATAAAATCTCATAAACCTGTTCCCTAACTTACAGTGCACCACAAATTGGGAGCCCGTTAGACCCATGTCCCTGTAAGACGCTCCCACCCCCAACTAGAGGCTTTAGGCCAGCCCAGAGGCTGCTCTTCCCTTTCACTGAAGGCTGATCTTGCTTCTCCTGCAAAACGAATTAATCTGTCAACGTAAAGCTGTGCCTCCACCTCTTTGTACAGAGCTCAACTCCTCGGTTTAGGAAGGGGCATACAGACTCTTGCGTTATTCTTTCACATGTCTAAAGGAAACACTGGGTTCAAAAGCTCAGTTTTTTGATACAGTAATTGTCTCCTTTACAACATCTTCCCCTACTTGTGCCTGACAGATCCAGCTGTTTGAGTTCTCTGAGAAAGCAGCAGCTCAGGAGTTCATCTTTGACCATATAAACTGTGTAAGTACAGGATATTTACTTTACCCCGAGTTGTTTTGTTGCTTGGGGACATCCATCCCCCTATGGAGATGGCCAGCATGGCCCTCAGCAGCACGTCTGGGGCTGACGTACCATCAGCTCACGGGTCTCTTCGAGCCTTTCCCACAGCAGCGACCCTGCTCCCATAAAACCCACCGGTGTCAGCACTCGCAGTCCACAAACGCCGGATAAACAGGGGCAGCACTTTGTGCATTACTCCAACACAAAATACGGTTCCTTGCAACTTTAGCAAAAATCTGGGGAAGAAAGTGTACAAAACCAGTTTAGCCAATATCTGGAAGTTTCTTCTTTCTTTTTTTAACCTGATCCTATTCAGCAAAATCAGTTGCAAAATCTGCCTGGAATAACAGCTTATTTGTTTGGCCCAACACACTCACTTAAGGTTGTATTAAAAGCAGAGGAACTGTTTTAATTAAACACCATATACCTGCCATAATTCCTCCCCTGTGATTACCAATTTCTTTTTCCAGTTCAAAGGTGAAGGAAGTCATGGAGTGATCCTGTTTTTGTACAGTTTACTTTTCTCTAGGACACTTGAAAGGTATATTTTATTCTCTAAACGTTTTCCTCTGTCTTAGTTACATCCGAAATGGCCCTTTCTTTGTTTTACTTCAATGCCCATTCCTAGTCACTGTGGGAGAGGCAACTGTCCAAGAGGCAGAGGGAGACCCGGGGCTGCGTGTACGGGTGCGGGTCCTGCACACCCCCATGCATCCAGGAGCGGGCAGAGGGCTCCAGGGAGGAGGGAAACCCTCTGCACACACCGGAGGAGTAACGCAGGGCGTAAAACCAGGAGTTACCCCACTGACAGCAATGCTCCCTGTCACAGTCCATTAAACCTAAGCAGGTAAATCACAAGAAGTTTATTTAAACACAGGATTCTGCCCGTGTGACTATGCTGGCAGCGGTGACTGATATCCGGCCTTTCTACACCCGATGTAATTAGATTTGGGTAAAGATGCTTTAGAAAGGTCCAGAGGCACATTTCTACCAGTATAAAACATGATTCATACTAATCTGACCCTGCAATAGCTCTTTAGCAAAAAATTGCACCACTACTTCAGTCATGTCCAGGCTGCGCCGGGGCGTAACTGCAGCCTTTCGGCAGAAATTGCGCCGAGGGGGTTGAATCTGACACTAAATTTGAATTTTGATAGGAACAGATCTGAAGTGCAAGAGCTCCAGCTGAGCATCACACTGCTGTGTCGGGAGAGCACTGCTGTGCCAACAGCACAGACAAAGGAGCGAGCCTGGGATCTCCTCCCGTTTCTGCTAGTCCGGCAGGGACGGGCAGCGGCCAGGCACTGCTGCCCTAACGCTCTCTGCTTGCTCGGGCAGGGTCCAAGAAGATTTAGACTGCACAGCAACCCCTCTGTTAGAGTTCAGTTTTGGAAACATCACCTGTACACAGGTAAGATTAGCCTCGTTTCTCAAGTTTTAATTTGCTATCGCTCCCACATTTGATTTAGGAAAAAATTCTCACTTGTTAACCCCACTAAAAAAGAAGCGTAAGGCCATAGAAAAATATGTTGTAAATTTGAATCATGACTGTCTATTCTAAAAATGGACTGTAATGACGATGATGATAATAATAATAGTAATAATGATAATAGTAATAATAAATAATAATAATAGTAATAAAGCCACAGGTAGTCTGGCATTCCTGCACTCATGACTGGCCCAACCAAGCTGGGAGCAGGCCCCCAGTCGCTGTCTTGCCAAGGGCTTTGCTGGTGCCCCGTGGCGTGACCGCGACCGTGGGCCGTTCCCCGCAGGCCGTGCTCAGCCTCCTCCTCACGGGCCGAGCGGGCCTGCACGAGCTCGACGGCAGCCGGGAG